GAAGAAATCTGTACCAGCTGTGAAATCGTCGGGCATTGACACGGCGCTGATGGGACACGGAGGCACGGATTTTTACTTGATGGACGGGTTCATCAAGGCTGTTTCGAAAAATGATCCCACCCTGGTCTTGACAGGTACAGTACAGTGAGACCCCCACATGCGGACACTGACACAACCTGCGGACATTGACATTTTAGGAAAATTGAATTTTTCAGGCTGGATTACAAGAAAGAGATACTGTATTTCCAACCGTGGTATGGTTAAATTCTTGCAAGAAAAAAATGTTTGGGAATTGTGACATCATTTTCCCATCCATCTAGCTGAGTAAAAAAGTACCTTGAGCATAGAGATTCTCCATAGAGAAGGGATTTCCGTCCCTCATTTCGACTTTATTTTTGTTTATACAGGAAATACTGATATCTCAATGTTCAATACTGTACAGAGGTACAGCATTTTTCTCTAGGTACTTTTCCCAGTATGTTTGGGAAGTTATATCCAGTTTGTCATTTGTAATTGTTTTTCTTCATACAGAAGCTATGCATTTTATTGAAATACTGTATTTTCATCATAAAAAATGTCAACAATGTCATCATGGTGAAAATTTTCAGCGGGCTTTGTGTGAATACATTTCATTGAGAAAACGTTCTCCTTGCTGCATCACTTAGTTATTCTTAGGAATGAACTGGTCATTTAAAATAAACACGAGTAAAGGCCAGTATAAAATATTGGAAGAAAGATTTGTTGCACTGCATTGCCAAATTAATTTAAAATACACTTAGTAACGGTCTTTTTTCACATTTTTTAGTCTTTTTTTTGTGAACTCAAAATATTTTAAACCTTTAATACGTTTTCTGATACCATCCCATGTTTCTTTTGAATGTTGTCCACTTATTAGTTTCAACACGTTTCACGCTTGAACTTGAAAATATTGGATCCCAAAGTCAAATCAATCACCGAACAAAATGAAGATGTTGTGAAGTCGAGCCTTTAAGGATTTTAGACGTACTTTTAAAGTTCAATAGATACATATTTAACATTCGCTGTGTCAAGAAGAGATGGCTCATCATCGAGTTTTTCAAGGAATGTTTAGTTGTGAACTTGTGGTTCAATAGAAACAAAATGTTAAAAATGTTGAACCCTTATTCAAGACGCAAGTGCGCTGTATCACGTAATCTTGAGCACAGAGTAGATATTACTTGTATGTATTTACAATTTTTAAACTTGTTGTGCGTCCTGTTTTTAAATTTTTTTTTTGCAGGAGTTGAAGAATCTCTGAAGAGTCATTTGCTGGTGTTCGCTGCAGAAACTGCTCGACGTGAAAATCGAGTTGTGACAATCCAGTCAGATCCTCAATTCTTCACCATCGATCTTC